GAGAAGAGTAGGATCATCAAGAAAAGGCAAAAGTTTTTTTTTAATCGTTATTGATTTAAAAAAATGCATTCTGTGTTCATTGTGTATGTTTTTCTACAAATACAGCAGAAAAATAATAATTATTATTTAATATTTACACCACACAAAATTTAATTTATTAATAAATAATAGAAATTAATAGGATTATCAAATACACACAACTACAGTATTATATATTTTTATAGCATCGATATATAACTATATAATTATATATACATGTATATATGCATACCTGTTAGCTGCCACTTAACAGCATATAACATATAACATAATATAGCATATAAGCTTATAATAACATGCATACATGTCAGCTGCTATTTAAACAGCATATATCATATAACATAATATAACATATATCGCATATGCATACAGGCTTGCTGTACCCTCTCTCTTTTACGTTTATCTCTTTTTTAACGTGTGTATAATTGGCTTTTTAACGTTTGTATAGTTGGCATCAAAGATTGCTTATAAAATTATATAGGTCGGTCATTGTGGCTAAGTTCAGTCACATACTTATTGATGAGATATCGCCATTATAGTGTGCTCCATGCCATGGGGGCTCCTTGATCTGTACTAGTAAGGGGTACGTTGATCTGAAGATCAAAGTGCCCCTACTGTCCTCAGATAATAATTCTCCAGGATGTTTAGTCATTTTTCTCTAACCATGCAAAATGCTATTTTTCCATTATTGTAAAATGTAATTTGTGTACTTTGCAGGTTTGGTTTCATAATGGTGAGATATCGGGAGCGAAAAACTAATCGAGGTAAAACACCTGTTGAAGTGATGAGAACAGCAGTTGATGAAGTTCTGAAAAAGAACAGAGCTATCAATGCTGTTGCACGTGAAACTGGAATTGACCGAATGACATTGAAGCGATATGTTCGGAAGAGTAGTCTCAGTCCAAGTGTAGGTTTGATACCGAATTGGAATACAAGGCAGGTATTCAATTTAGAACAAGAAGAGATGCTTGCAAAGTATTTGCTGCAAGCATCTAAGATGAACTATGGACTATCCACCAAAACAACTCGCCAGTTCGCATATGATATGGCCGTTGCGAATAATATAACATGCCCATCTTCATGGTCAATGAAAAAAACTGCTGGTATTGATTGGCTCCAGGGTTTTATGAAAAGAAGACCCGAGTTGTCACTACGTGCAGCTGAAGCGACTAGTCTGGCAAGAGCAACAGCATTCAATAAATATAATGTCAGTGAATTCTTCAAAAATCTTCACAAGGTTCGTGCAAGGCATAACTTTGGTCCGGAGAACATATACAATGTAGATGAAACTGGACTCAACTGTGCAAAAGCCTGTTAAAGTTATAGCCGGTCGAGGATTGAAACAAGTCGGAAGGATGACATCTCAGGAAAGAGGGAAATTAATTACAGTATGCTGTGCTATAAATGCAATTGGTAATTCCATACCACCTTTGTTTATTTTTCCTCGTGTCAACTTCAAAGAGTTCATGATAAGAGATGGTCCTCGAGGTTGTGTCGGATTTGCAAATCCATCTGGTTGAAAAGGGAAAAGATGTCATCATTCAACTTTATCTGTAGAAATGCTGAATTATATCAATTTATAAAAGAGGACATTGTTTGTAAAGTTCCAGATCCAATTCAGCATGGTGGAACTGCTCGAGTCAGTCGTCACTTGGTTTTTCCCGTTGATTTGACAATTTTTAAAGATCTTAATTAATGTTAATTTTTATTAAAAATTATGAATTATTATATCCAATGTGTTTTAGCGAGTTTTTTGGAGGCAAATGAACATCAAATCATATTGATTTATACCTAGGATCAATGTACCCCATGGGAGGGATCATGGTACCCCGTATATGGGGTGCTTTGATCCTTTGTAGGGGTTGTACCAAAGTTAAATTTTTTTAAAAATTTCTTGTATTATACAATTGAAACTGAACTTAATACATTAAATGAATGTTCCTCTGTAAATTGCACAAATATTAATATTCACTTTTTGGTTAGTTTCACTGTTGTTACAAAAAAACCTCAAAACAGATCAATGTGCCCCCATCTCCCCTATCTTATGCGACTAACTTAGCTTCATGAAACATTGATACACCCAAAAGAATATATGGATCTTTGGAGATTGACGACTGGTTTGAAAAATTGGCAACAATGACCTCACATTATGATTAGCAGGGAATTCTAACAGTATAGCCTCGGTGGTTGACAAAATCTAAAATATATTATATAGTGATGTAGACGCTTCCAGGTCGATTTTTTGTCTAACTCTTGTTTAAGTTCCTGTATAATTCAACAGCTTGGAGACTGACAACTTCCCACTCCAACACTTTGATATAGACTACATTGGTTAAAATGGCCGTGCAAAAACTTGCTCACCTCTCACCATCACTTAGAAAAGTCATTGAAAAGGAAAAAACAACATAGTAAACAAAGCAATAACGTTAAACAACTGAAAAAAAGGTGAAGAAGAGGGAAGAAAATAAAACTAAATGCAGATTGAAATTGGTGTGCTTATCAGGCTAGAAAACATTAATCAGGTCACCCTTCGACTACACACTTACCTGTGAAACCACACGAAGGGATTTAAAGGCTCGCAGCCATTGCATTGAAATAACGATTGATGTTGAAGATATATGCTTCAAGTAATCTTAAGTACAATGGTATGCACTGTATTTGATAATAATATCATTTTTAGTCAAGCAATGATCAAAATAAAACTAAATTCACAATTTTGTTTTCAAATATATGACGATTAGATTAGATTAGATTAGAAGGAATAGCTTGTATTACAGTCAATTAATTAAAGTCTAAGTACATGTTCTTCAGCTTTCGTATCATTATTTTAAGTGTATGATGGTCAACATTCCATATTATATTATTCTATATGTATATATATATATATATATATGTATGTATGTATGTATAAATGAAAGGAAGAAAAATGTGAATTAAAATATGGGTTGCTTATGAATGGAGTGCTAGAAAAGAGAGAAGCACATGATTGTGTATTAACTTTAAAAACACCCACCACTGTAGTTTGTAGTTCTGTTTGTTTACATTTTTCACGCTCTTGAAAAAAACTTCTGTAAAACTTTAAAAATTTTTTGTTCGTATCGTCGTCCTAACGCTCCTAACTCGCTGGTGGATACCTACCGTCCTATCGTTCTGCCTGCTTCTGGAATGATAAAAAATGCATTTCTCCATTCCGGACACCACCGACATCATCGATTCAAGAAATAATAATTACACGGTTTTGTTTCAATTTAATTTTTTATATTAAATTTATTTTAAATTTTAATAATAAATTAAATTTTATTATGAATTTTTTTTCACTGTTTAATCTTACTTTTTTTAATTTAAAAACTATTTAATTGACAACTATTTTTTTTCAATATAAAAATTTTAAAGTTTAAAAATTAAAACATTAATTTTAATATTTCATATTAAATGGTTTAATTTTTTTAATATATTCAATTAGTTTACTTAATAGAAAAATTACTGTAGTTTAAAATTTAAAACAAAAAAATTTTTAAATATGAATACATGACCACACACAATGCAATCATTATATTATATTTATTTAAAATTAATTCAATTATTTATGAATTGGCAAATTTTCATCAACAAGCTATTTTATTTTTCTATGTTTGTATTTATATATTTAAAATTAATAGTTCAATTGTCTTATTATTTTTTTTTATATACATTTATTTTAACTTTAGGAAATTTAATTTAAGAAATGGACATTGCTTTTTTATTTTCCATAACGGCATCATAAACTAACCAATTAATTTCCTATTTGTCTTTCAGTTGTACAACATACAGATTAATGGTGTGTACCACTGTTCACTGAGATACTCACAACTGCACAATTTCAATGCCAACGTGAGCATCATTTAATTTTTTAAATTACTTATTTGATATAACACTAACTATTCAAATTAGTGACATTTTTCATTATATTTACAGTTGAAGAAAGAATTTGATTCCAATATTTTGCCTCCATTCCCTCCAAAAAGACTTTTTTCATTATCTACTTCACAGATTGAAGAAAGAAGATTGGAACTTGAACGATACATTCAACAGAGTATTTAACTAATTACTAACAATTAATTATTTATTTAATTTTTTGAAATCTTTTCTTCTTTTATTACAGCATTTTAATTCTTTATAGAAATAAATAACATTTTACATTTAAATGTTTTATTTATTATATTTAAATTTATTTTCAGTTAGCCAATGTCCTCAAATATTATCCAGCGAGACATTCACTGATTTCTTCCTGAATGCTCAAAAGGTTAAAAGTTCTCATCAAAATTATTATTTCTTTCTCTCTTACAAACTATTTTTAATTATTTTTTTATTTAAAAATTGTTCAGGAGAGTTTGCAAGAGAAAGATGAAGATGTCAATTTGGACATTTATTCTCCCAGTGGTAAGAAGGTGGTTGTAGCTGTGCGTTCACTTGACAAAACTTTGTTGGTCTACCAGGTTTGTTGCTCATTTATTGTTAGTCTCATTTAATCTAACATGGTCTTTTGTAGCTCTTCTTAGAAATCATCTCGATAAAATTCATTTTTCACAGAGCAGGTTGATTGATTGATTGAATTGATCAATGAACTGATAAATGATTAATTTTTTGGTTGTTTTGACTGGTTGGGAATTGATATGTTTGCTTGCTGGTTGGTTGGATTGTTAAATATGTGATTGATGACTAACATATTAATCTAACCACTTTTAGGCAGCTGCTGCTAAGATGAGCTTACCCGAGAAGTCACAGCCATATTTTGCATTGTACCTTATCTTGAAAAGCTCTCCAAACAGCTTTGCAGGTTGGTTTTCATTGGAGTTTAAACTTTCAATTCATTATCTAATCATGCAGTTTTTTGTTTAAACTCATTTTTTACATAATGGCACTTAAAATATTTGTTCTCAACAGTTTCATCATATGCTCATTCAACAGTGTCATTTGTTCATTTTCATTCTACAGTTATAATGTTGTTGCTGTGATTATCAACACTTTGTTCATAAAATCAGTTGACTTTTCGTTACTTTTTATTCATTGTTATAATAATAATTATAATAATAATAATTATTATTATATTACTAACAATATTTTGTTAACGCATGTCGGTAGTTATACGAAAGATGCAGGGATTTGAATCTCCATACATATCTATGAAAGCCACGTTGAACTTGCAAGGCCGCTACTTTCTATGCATCAGGAAGGCGTTAGTTCATTCATCTGTAGATTATATTTTCTTCATTGTCCTCAGTTAACTCATTACAACCACTGACTTCTTGTAGGCTTTTTTTTGACACAGAAACATTGTACTGTACATTAGTTAGTCACTTATTCAGTTTGCCAGACCAGAGTTCATTCAGTCTGCAACAAAGTCTAGTGCCATGTACAATGTTCACTTGTGCATTACAATGTTACACAGAATTATTTAGTCAGTCTCTGCCTATTCAGTTTAATATCATCTTATTTTTGTGTTCTAATCTGCCTTATTTTAATTATTAGATTTAATTATAGTATGAGAATTAATTATGATGATTATAATTAAATGACAAATTTAAGATAATAACAAATTAGATCATATCTATCCCATCCATCTAATCATATCATATCTATTGTATCTATCTATCTAATTTATCAATCCAATCTGTTTTGTTTTTCTATCCAATCAGCTAACCTATCAAGAGACAATCACATGACGCCAACAACGTTATACACTCAACTTTAATTATTTTTGTAAACTTTGTACTATCACATGCATTTCATTTTAAACTAAAAACTACCATTGTTTGTCTTATTTAAAAATACTTAAATATGTTAAAACTCTAATGCTAACATTTTAATCATATGAATTAATTATAACATTATAATTAATTATAATATTATAATTAATAATGATAATAAAAATAGAACGCTAAACAATGGACCGCCATTTAAGATAATAACAAATGTAACATTGGCCAAAAGTGATAGCTTTGTAATGGGCACTGAACTGAATTATTTTCTGAATGAACATTGAACATTCCAGATACTGGGACCCATGTTATGATGAAGATCTTCTTGATGACAGGATCTCATTGAATCTCCTCTACACTCAAGTAACTAATTCCTTCCATGAATGTTCTTCGTCATGCACGTTGTAGCTTTTGTTGTTGTGACTGTTTTGTTGTTGGTGTTGTTGTCGTGTTTGTTGTGTTGTTGGTTTGTCGTTATTGTATTCCTGTCTCTTTGAAGTTTCACCTTTATAATAATCAATCGATCACTCGGTATGCTCTGAAGATTAAACTTCATAATGATGATTTTATGACAATAGCCACCAATACATGAAATATAAAAACGACAGTTTCAGAAGTTTATAACGCCATTTTCTTTTACTACAGAGTAATTTTGATGTAATTATTTTTTATAGCAATTTACGTTTAAGAGATGGTATACAATAATTATTATATATGTGAGGTCATATTTAACAGCATTCAACAATCTTATGATGAGTCTCTGTTAAAGTCTTCAACATTTTTTTTTGTTTTTACGATTGATGTAAAATGCTTCCGAGTGGTTTTTTAAATTTTAACTATTAGATTTTGCATTCCTAGTACCTATGTATATCAAATTATTTCAGAGTGACTACTTGGTGTTAATATCATTGTTGTATTCTGTTAAATTAAATTATTTTCGACCAAGTTAACAATTGTTTGAAGCTTTAGAACAATGACTCAATGAAATGAGATTGACACAATTAAAATATTGCAATCATAAAATGCCAATTTACATTTAGTAAGCTTTCAACAGCTTGATAAGAAAGAATATAAGAAGAATGGATGTGGAACATTTTGTTTTTATATTTGTTTGTATTTTTCTGCTATTTTTGGCGATTGTGTTTGGAGAACATATATTTCCTTCGGTTGTTATTTTGGTTATCATCACACGCCTACCATCAAATCAGTGCACCTGATGCAAATCTTCTTTTAAAAATCATCTTTTTATGTGATTATGGGTGGAATCTCTGAATATTTCAGACAAAAAATCCTCTTTCATGTGCACTTTTACGCAAGTTCGTCACACGCATTCTAGAAATTTTACAAATTCTCTGCTGAACAATCTTAGTTATGCATAATCCAGTTATTTACTTGCCATTCATAACTTGTGAAAGACAAGTGAACATATGATTGATTGACTGATGACGAAAATGTTTCAGCTATCTGATTTGTGTCTGTTGTAGCGAGTGTGCATGTGTACCTGTAAAGCAACATTATGTGTCTATGAGTTTTATTTTATTCTTTAAAAATGAGAATTTGACAGAGACAGAATCCGTAACAACATTATTGATTCTAAAAGCTAATGAATAAATAACTGAGTTACCAACCTACGTACATACACACACGTGCAGTGCACACATAATTTGTGTACACACATAGTTAATATTCAGCAGTTTTATTTGAACATCAAAGTTAAATCTGAATCAAGCTATTCATTGTTTTTGTATATGTAATTCTCATAAGAATGGTTAGAAAGCATATCTTTAATGACACATTATTTTTGTTAGTGTTGTTCATCAATGTTAATTGTTGTTCTAACGGTCTAGCTGTTCAATGTTCTAACTGCTAATTACTGCTTGTGTCTGTCCTGGCTGTCACTGTCACTGCTGTCATTGTTGCTGTTATCAATTTAATTTTTCGTAAAATGATCATGTTTCTTTGATTTTAACTCGGCCTATGTTATAAAAATTAATCGTCATGCCTGCACGAAGACATGATATTTTGAACTTCAGTCAGTTAATCATTTCCTTCAATTTCTAAATCACTCGTGCAATAAAACGAGATGAGATGCACGTACGCTAGATCGCACTCACACTGAATCCAACGTGCACGCTTCAAATGAATGCTCTACTGCACTACTTTCATAACTTATCTTGAGTTAATAATGGTCATTCATGTCATCATCGTTAATTAGTCTGATGTCTAAGAGTATGTGTATGCCTGGATGAATGGTAGCTAGAATGATTTTCTGCAGGTTTTGCGCAATACTGCATCTGAAAGTTTAAAAATAGACCGATTTGTTATAAATTTTCATTTCATTTAATAAATTTTTGTTTGAATGAATTTTATTAGGCTCAGTGCGATAAAGAAAATGGCTGGCTGGAACTAAATGATGAACAGTCTCAAAGATTAGCCTACTTTGATAAACAGGGCTCCAAAAAAGAAGTTAGTGAATGTTTATTTGAATATCATCATCACATCGTCATCACCATCAGTTCATTTTAGCCAACAACATCTAATCAATGACACTTTGTTAGTTCCTGAATCATATTTATTTTACTGTCATCCATCAACTTAATCCTTTTTATTGAACATCCTGAATTTTGTATCTTCGCAACTTCAGTACACGCAAGTATATTTTTAATTCTCTGCAGTGGGCCACCTATCTGATTTCTATAAGCATGCGTTAATATTTCACTTTATTATTTTTTTTTGTTGCAATTGTCAATGCATTGCTTTCATCTTCGTGTTACACGTTGTTACATATCATCATCGTCGTCGTTGTCATCACTTAACAATATGTTGAACTCCATTCTGAACGCTCTGATGGGAATTTTTTAAATTTATCAGCAGTGTAATATCGACACAAACTGAATTGATGGGTGGCATTTGAAATAGCGTTTTGTTTGTGTTTTTTATGATTGTAAAAGGTAGAGTTTGATATTTTTCATTGTAAAGAATTATTTGATTCAACTTGTTTGAATCAGAAATATTTGTTTAGTTTAAGAAATAAAGTAGGCAACTCAAAATTAATTGAACCTGCTAATAGTTCTTGAAGTACGCACGTAACTTGAAGTACTACAACCACATGTTCACTAATCTCTGCATGTCCGACTACCCTCGACCCTGCACTCCTGTCGTCGTCGCCATCGGCCCCAAGGAGATCCTTCTGAAACTACAAACTGAGGTTTACTTTTAAATTTTGTTATACTTCATTATTTTTCAACCTTTTTTGTTTTTGTTATTAATTGAATACCACACGTCATAGGAGTCATACAATGCAATGTTAACATCTTGATACATGCATTCGATGTTTAGAACTCATGTAGATTTTGAACAATGCCACTTTGCAGGCTCTTTCCTAACTAAGCAACCTGTGAAGTGGCTGATTTTTTTTTATCATGGTTGGCTTTGTAAGTCTTAAAACTAAAATTCAGAATTGAAAATGAAACATTTCTACTGACTACTCTAGGTTGATCTTATATTTTAAAAGTCACAATGCAAAAACAGTTTAACATTCTTGTTAAATTTTATATTTGTTCTCCAGAGTGGAATCAAAGAAGTGGAATTAAAGGTGACAAGGATCAGATGTTGGAGGATTGCTTCTGTGGTTAGCGTGTTTCTCATTATTCGTACAAGTATCAACATTAGACGTAACGACACATTCTATGATTTGAAAACATGCGCTAGACACCCTTGTGTAGTAAATAATGCGTTCGTCCCACTAGTATCTGTATATATGACGAATGATCATCGTTAAATGCGAACAGGCTCTAGAGAATTACAATCCTCAAATAGCAGCACTTGGACCAAAAACCTTAGAACTGTCCCTTGAGTACCTCATATCTAAGAACACATTAAAGTGGATCTCCATCTACAGCCCACAGGTAGTTTCTCATTTATTTTGATACTGTTGCAAATTCAAAAAGCAGTTGATTGTCACATAATTTTCTCATTTCACTTTTAATCTTTTATATTCGTTAGCCTGATATACATCCATGCTAATGATTCTCAAATTTAAAAGTTATTGGGGAACAATTTTATGTTGTGTATTTAATTTACTTAAATTATCTCAATTTTCAATTAATATGTTATTAATTTTACTCCTTTTTAGTCTTTATTATTCAACGCCTTTCGCCAAACCCAATCGAAATTTTTTCCCCAGGCTATCTTCATAAGCATGTGCCTGCAGAGCGTGGTTGATGAACTGATCATGAAGAAAAATGGAGAGCATATAAATAAAGTAACAAATTGCGAGCAAATGTATCATTATTTTTATACCTTTTTCATTCTGTATCAAATTATTGATTAGTATTTTTTTTAACTGCTTCATTATGTTTGAACCATTTGGATTGAATTTTAGATTTTAGCTTTTCTATTCCATTAATTATTTTCTCTATATAAAAGAACTCTACCGATTATAATAGTGTCGGTTGTATAATTTGTCTCAGAGTCTGAACAAACTGTTAAAAAAGTCAATCTCTAAGGAGAAGTCTCCACCGGTAAAAAGCATCTTCATTGTTGTTTCATTTTGAAGGATAAACCTTAAACTCTAATCAAATTTTATTGCTTATTTTACTTATTTATACATAAAACTCTATCATTTTGTTAACAGATCGAATCTACATTTTTAAACCCGGAGCTCTATTTTACTGGAAATTCTGCATTTGATGATATAAGAGATGATGATTTATAAAACAATATGTATAATCGGTTAAATTCATTGAATATCTTATTATCTTATTTATTTGTATATTTATTTTTTACTATCTTCTTCAATTATATTATTGTCATTGATTCTCCTCGTTTATTGACTAAAAACATTATTAAACTCTTCACGTCTGCAGACTACCTTGTATAGCATTTCATGGTGCATAGAATTTAATGCGTCGATCGTACGAACGCTGGTTCTGTAGATGGTTATATTATATATATATATTATATATATATATTATATATATATATACAAATATATATATCTATTTTATTATACTTACATGTGTCTAATGTCCGTTCCTTATAATATCGTTTGCAGTGATTTCGTCCTTAATTTTTAATTGCGTGGATTCATCGTAACATTGAATTCCATTTTAAGCTTACTATAAAAATCAGGGATATTTATGTGGTCTGTGAATGTACGTGTGTGTGCGTAATATTATCTTGTGCGTGTGCGTGATATAATCTTCTGTGCGTGTGAGTGTGTGATATGACCGTGTGAAGATGTGTGATTGGCGTGTCATGTTTATAGAAAATTATTTTGGTATGTGTTTATTTACATTTTAAATGAACTTTCTCAAAACTTTTTCGCCAAACTCAATTTAACTAATTTTGTTTATTATTTAAAAATTAACAAAAACAGCTTTGTAAATTTTACATCGATAAAATGATTGATTGATTGATTGATTGATTGATTGATTGATTGATTGATTGATTGATTGATTGATTGATTGATTGATTGATTGATAGATAAGTAGGTAGCTTAGCGTAAACCTACGCTGAGTAAACCGAATGATATGCTCTAGGATCGCATAGTTTTTAGAGCCATGCAACCAGATGAAAGCATCGGAACGTTTTGGGAAGTATCTATTTTCAGTTTCTCCTTATTGATTGCATTTATCAGTTTCTCTATTTTTCAAAAGCTGATAATAATCAAAAGTTTTTTATGGTCCATAAGTAAATGGTATCACAAAGGATATAAAACAAAAGAATTATTAACAAAGGAATTATTCACAAAAACGTCTGAAAATGCTAAATTGAAATAATTTCAAAACTTTAATAAGACATTTTAATACAGTCGTGAAAATAATTGGATTTATACTTTTGAGTTTGAATTCTATTGATAGTTTTTACGCTACTACCTTCATGTATGTATGTTGCACCATGAAATGAATCTTGCTACTATCTTCATGTATGTATGTATGTACCACGAAATGAGTTTTGCTACTATCTTTATGTGTGTATGTACCATGAAATGAATCTTGATACTATTTTCATGTGTGTACAAGTACATTGATCAATGCACATATATATATTTGAAAAATTTGCAATATTGATGATCGTCGATATTGCAATCTTAAACTGATTTGTACCATTCGTCTGGCCATGATGTCTAAAGTACCTTGTATAATAAGAATACGAAAAGCAATTCCAGTTTTAAATTACGTGATTGAAACTCTAAGTAGTAGAAAATAAATTTTCTTAAATGGATTATTTAATAAAAAATAGTTACCTGATAAAATTTCAATTGTAAAAATTAATCCGCCATCGCTGACAAGTTCTAAGTATATGAGCCAATCACGTCGAAACACGAATTCTTCTTCGTGGACGATTTTTCAAACGTTTTTCCTCGTCGTTGTTTGGAAAACTGAGAGGAAATGGCCGTACGTACTCTTTCCATCGCTGTCTGCATCTTCTTACTTATTAATATTTACTTTGCATCAGCTGAAAAAGGACCGAAAGTTACGGATAAGGTTGTTATTCTCGCTAATCATCTGATGTTTTCGTGTCACATTTATTTACTTTACAATTTCAAATTGGCTCATTGATCAAAATCAAACCATGCATTGCATTGCATGATGCGTACATGACAATTACATATGTGATAACATGTCAATTTTGATTTTGTTGTGGGCACATGTTGTTGCAAACTATGTTTTGTTAATCTTTAATAATTAATTTCAAGGTGTTTTTTGATATTGAAATTGGAGGCGAAAAACAGGGCAGAATTGTTATAGGATTATTTGGCAAAACTGTTCCAAGAACTGTAAAAAATTTCAAAACAATTGCAGAAGGCACTGAGGTTTGTCATTTTTAGTTTGATAATTAATTTAATAAAAATTATAGTATATACTTATATAATAGTTATAATATTAATAAATAATTGCTATGTAAGAATCATATTCATATGTAAATACTGAATTGTAAATGTTTGTGCATTTTACTTTCAGGTTGCAAAAGATGGCACAAAATTGTCATACAAGGGAAGTAAGTTTCACAGAGTCATTAAAGATTTTATGATTCAAGGTGGTGATTTCAACAAAGGAGATGGGACAGGAGGTTGTATAATGTCATTGTTCAAATTTTATTTCAGAGTCTTTAAAAGTCTTACCTTACTCTTATGAATAGTTTTGTTACACTTATTTTAATGATTTTCTTTAAAATATGTTAATAAATCAGGTTTGCCAAATAGAGCTTCTTTTCTAACCAGTTAAATTAATTTTTAAATCATGACTGAGTTTAATAGGTTTATTTATTTTAAGTAGCTCATTTCTTTTGGTTTTAGTTCAGTATACTGTTAAAAAGTGTGCCAAATGTGATTAAATTCTATATATTTTTTGAAATGCTATGTTAGCTGATGTGTTGTTTTTGCAATTTATAATAAAAATTTCTTCTTTTGAATAATTTTATTATCTCAGTCTCTTACTGTTTGGTTCAATCTGTTGTCACAATAAAAGTTTTGTCTGCTTTTGTATGGTTCTCTAAGTATTTTCAATATAAAATTTGAAAAGTTTCCATGTTGCTGTTATTATAGATACTTGGAAAATGTTGTGGTCTGACTGAATTTTTTGTTTAAACTCTAAATATACCAATAATTAAAATTAGCTAAACTAGCAATAATTTTAAATGCATTTAAATTTGAAACCATTTTAAATGCAAGCTTAATGATTAATCAAACTCATTATTTATCAATAGGATTGAGCATATATGGGGCTAAATTTCCTGATGAGAACTTCAAATTGAAGCATTATGGTGCTGGTTGGGTTTCCATGGCCAATGCTGGCAAAGATACAAATGGTTCCCAGTTTTTCATAACAACCAAGGCCACAGATTGGTTGAATGGCAGACATGTTGTATTTGGTGTTGTGCTTGAAGGCATGGTATGTTTTTTTGTTAATTACATTGCTAATTTTAATTTATTATTAATTAATAATGCTATTAATAATAATATAATAATTAATAATGCTAATTTTATTTTCTGAGAAATTTCTAGCTTGGTACTTTTATAAGTGATACAAAAAACACAATACAGAAAGTTGTAAGACTGATTGAGAATGTGAAAAAAGATGGGAGAGACAAACCTTTGGATGATGTTGTCATTGCTGATTGTGGTTCACTACCTGTTGAGGAGCCATTTGCTGTTCCAAAAGAAAGTGCCAAAGAATTATAATTATATTCTGAACTGTTATACGTGTGTTATCAAATTTCAAACAGTTTATTTGGTTTCATTAATCATTCAACTATTGTATTGTGGCAAAATATCGATAGGTCGTCACTGGTAAAAATGATTTTTTTTTTATTTTTCCTTATGTCAGTTTATAGATTTTTCTTTAATTATTTTTATGGTTCTTAGGCGTTTAAGTAATGGTATAAAGTTGTTCAATCTAAAGCAATTAAGTTTAAAAATAAACGACTCGACAATGGTCTGTTAATTCGTTTTTTTAATATCAATTAAATCAATCTTCGTTTTGCGTCCAGAGACCCGGTTTCCCGAGGTAGGACGTGAATAACGTTAATATCCATTAAATGCCTGAGTTATTTTCAGACGAGTGTAATGATTGATTACATTTTGCGTTATGAAATGTATGGCAATTAAATGAATCACGCTAAGGTGTAGACACGCTGTGATCATCGAATTCTTAATTGCTTGATCTTTTAAATAATTAGTTGATTGCATTTGCTCTGCATACATGTACATGCATTACAATACGCGTTTAACTTCATTTGAACATCTGAAATTGTGCGTGTGTGTGTGTGTGTTTAAACTGAGTTACGCTATAAAAACTGATCGCCGTCACATCTTGACTGACATTTAAAATTTGTAAAATGATTAAGTTATGTTGACGTTGAATTATTTTCATGTTTCCAACTCCGATTCGGCAACATCCTTCGATCGATTTCTTAATACCGACAAAAAGCAAATACAAGTGATTTTTATTTATCTGTAAAAGATTCGTTGACTTGGTTCATTTTTATAGGCTGAGCCGAAGCTGAAATTTAAATTATTTTGGATCATGGCACAGATTACAATTTTAGTGTATGTTAGTTTGAAGAAGTTTGGATTTGATTGTCTTTTTTTCAATTCTTCGTAGGTCTTCCGAGCTCATCTAAATAGCTTCAATTCACCAGCTGCCTTCAGGGTATTTTCTAGGTCAGAAAAGAAATCGCTGAGTATTCAACCGAATGGACACAACAATCATAGAATACATCATCATCACCACCCCGTTCGAATCTCGGTATGTTTTGCCTAGAATTTGTGGTAATCGTATCCTATTTGTATTAAAATTAATTCAAGTTGGGACGAAATTATGTATTTATGTCTACACAAGTGGTTTGCAACGGGGTCGGTGAGAGAAAATACTGTGTAGCTATAAGAAAGATTTGAAATTTCACTCAAAATTTATTTTGCGTTCGTTTTTTACGTGATATCTCGATAAATTTTGGGGAAAACCTGTTTTTAGATTCACATAAATAAGATGAATTATGAAAGCAAAAAATGTCAAAAAAGGATCAAAATTCACAGAGGAAATTTATTATAAAAATTCTGAAAAAACTCTAATTTATGATTAAAGCACATGATTTCACTGTCAATTTACATAGGGACTAAGTCGGCCTAGAATATTTTGAAATTTTTTTTTGTCATTTTGTTTATATAATATTAAATACCATTATATTAAATTAGTTTGGTTTAAATTTATTTTTATCAAATGATATGAATAACAATTCTTAAAGAATCCTGGCCGGTGGTGTGCAATTCATGGAAAAATTGCTTGGAACATTTATTACAAAAGGCATTTGAAGAGGCACGTGACTTCAAAACGGTTCTACAACAGTCACAGCCAATCAACGTCAAACAGTTGTCATAGTTCATTGACTAATTTCAATCATGTTTTCAGTACGCAATTTAATTCTCACAGCAAAACACATCATCATCAAAACAGTCTAAACAATTTGAATCAAATTTTGAATACGAATGACAGACTTGAACGGCGATATCACGATTACAGAAAAAATTTCTATGTGCATACTTTAAGCCAGCATACTAACCACTACTATCACCACCATAGCATTCATCTTGTGAACGATAAGAATAATAATTGTAAAATCAACGGCGTTTCTGTTGCTAATCACGTTACAGAGGGACAAAATCACCATTGTCATGAAAAAATATCAAAAGCTGTCAAAAAAACTAAGTCAATGCAAACTCCTAGAGATAATAACGATAGTATTCCAACTGAAACATTAACGGAAAAAGTCGTTCTGGAGAATTTGAATCCAGGTTAGACTACAGTTAATTTTAACTTTAAATGTACAATTTAATTTTTTAAAAAGTAGAATCAAGAACACTTGTAAACCGCACAAATTCAATAATTTTTCATTTTTGTCAGCGAAACTTATTATATTTGTTTAAACCTTTTCCATTCTTTCATAGCCGTATTAGGTCCCGTTTCAGATTTGAATGAAAAAATAAAAAATGAAATTCAGAAGCGCCTAACTATGAATGATGATCTAAAAGATGACATGAGAACATTCAACCACCACAACAGTTCAAGTTTTATTCGTCCGATTCAAAATACCCACGCAGAAAAAAATTTTTCTTCTCAGCTTGAATCACATTGCAGTGTTAAAAAGCTGCAACAAAGCATTCGTGATGCAAATAGCGTCCAAATAAAAACTGAACCCGAAGACGAAAAAGAAATATCTGAGATAATCTATAAAAAGAAAGTAGATAACGGTCCTCCAAGTCATGCCGAAGTTGATTGCAAATTTGTGAACTACACTCAATCGAAGCCTCGAGTAAAATCTTATTGCATCTTTGACAATCATCATAATACGATTAAAAAAAATCCAAATAATATCCAAAGATCGTATGAAATAGTCATGAAAAAAAACGGAAATGACGATTTTGTGAAAGAGAAATCAGTAAATGAGAACATTGATCTGCAGTCGAGAACACCGTCCAGCGGAAGTGATTCATCGACCATCAGCTCTTTTGAAAATTTCAAATGCAAAATGGATGCTAAATATACTTATGAAGATAAAATGAAAAATTATCAAAAATATCTAAAAATGGACAGTCAGATTGCACAGAATAACATGTTTATATGTCGCGAAAATTATCGTAAAATGAAAAAGTCGGCTACCAATCATGATTTTGATGACAATGTTTATAACAATTGTACATCATCCAGGACCTCATGTCCCTTCGTCACAGACAGGAGACCGTATAAAAACAACAACTTCGAATTAGAAAGTATTTCTTCGGTGAAGAATCATGTCGTTTGTCCGAAAGGAAGTGGCGGAAGTGACAGCAGTTGCAGTAGTGACACTGGAAATAATAAAAATCAACATGCGAGCGAAAGTTTAAGTTCTGGGGACAGAGATAGTCTCAGTAGCAATAGCAGCAACAACAGTTCTATCGAAAATGTAGGCAATCCAGACATAATCAAAAGTCAAAAGAAGAAGAGCAAGTAGTTAAACATTTACTATAAGCAAAAAGCAATATTAGTGGTGCAATGCTTCTTTGCAAGTAGCACTTTCTCTCAGGTTGAAAAATTGATAAATGCCGTCCGACATTGATATAATTGATATGTTTTTGATTTATAATTTTGAATTAATCATGAAAGTTTAAAGTTTCAAACGTTTATTAATATTTTTTTAAATATACATTCTAATAAAATAAATAATATAAATTTTTAAAAAGCCTATGTTTGAAACATATAAGCATTGTTAAAAAGCATTCGTTGAAAATATAAACCAATTAAATTTTTATGGTAATTGATGACAAAAATTATTGCTATAAAATGAAAAAAAGTAGCCACTAAATCACAAGGCTGTAACACGAACACGTCCTGTTCGACAATCGTCCGCACAAATATATCTGGAAAGAAATGGACAAAACATGGAAAGTGCTGTAACCACAGATAACAGAACGTACGGCCAGCCAACCATACATTGTCCTAATTTGTATATGCCAGATCCAAAACATATTCTTTTCACCACTTTTGAGTCGAATCCAAATGGAAAAATTAAAAGGCTTAATAAGAGAACAGTAACTGTGAATAATTATATATTAAGATTTAATGGCAGGAAAAAATGTATGTTGAAATTTGAAATATTTTGAAATGCATTGCCTCGTTAAAGAGTGGTTGCGGTTAAAAACTATAGATATTTCCAGAAATGCAAACGCAGACACACTAAATTAAAATCGAATCGCGCACATCGCCATCGCCTACTGTCAAATCGCAAGAATACAATAAATTTGATTTTGTCATATTTTCTCCTAAAATTTATTATCTCGCAACATGGAATTTCATATCAGAATTGCATGATCATATTCATTTCTTTATAAACTTCCATGAAAGCAAAAGCGGCGTTGACGTCACATATTAATTATATTGTCTTATAGGAATCATTAACTGGCAAATGAATATTGATCTCGTTTAATTTTATAATGAACCAAGTGCTTAAATGCCAGTTATATTTCTCACATAAAATTCCGTAGTACGCAGCTGATTTACTCTCCAATTTTAATCGTATACTAATTTTTTTAGAAAGATTTCTACATATTTTGGGTTTTAAATTATTTTTATAGAAAAAACACTTTTTCCATTTTTATTTATAACAATTTATTTGACCCCCAAGTGTAGCGTAGCCAGAATTTTTGGCAGGTCTTAGATTTCTAATCAAAATTAGCGACCTTCTTTTTGGCTTATTCTTCATTTTTGAAACATTTTCCTATTATAATCAGTGTTTTGTAAACCTAATGTAGCCAAATGTAAGAGCAGCATCTTTTCAAAATTTTGTTATGTTTTTATGTAAACCTTAACCTTAACTGAATTTTCCGCTGTGGGGCATTATCCCCAAAGCTAACCCATTGGCTACGTCTCTGATTCCTAAAAGACCCATCTGTTATTGGACAATATTTTTTGCTTTTAAACAATTTATTTCGCTTTATTCAATACTATTTGCTTATTATAGTTTTGCTTTGATTGTTACAAACTGTATTCTTAATTATCTTATTTAGTAACATTTTTTATGTTATATATCTTGAAAAAATGTTTTAACATTTGTTATTGATATTCAAGATATCATATGTTATTTTATTAAAATAAAATTTGATAAAAATTCGACATTTTAAAATTTAACTAAGATGGATCAAAATTCCATTTCTATAGTGTGACTGTTTAGGTTTTACCGGCCAAATATATAATTTAAAAATAAGATACATGTGGGGTAGCTATCAAATGAGTTAGCGCGGTTAACGTTAATGAAACTTTAATTTTTTTATTCTATGTTTAACTACTCAATTATATTAGGTCCCAGTGTATCCTCTACTTTTCAATTTCGTTCGACGGTTAACCCACCTTGTCTTGCTTTGTAGTGAAGTGATGAGTACCTAAAGAGATTCAAGCCTTTAACATGCACAGTTTGTGATGCTTGGTTTCACACGTTTTCCCGCATGCTGTGTGTGTGTGCGTGTTGTTAGCTTAGAACCTCTAAGTGTTGCAAGAAAAAATTACCTTAACCTTCAAAAAATGAAAAGAAAATTTTTATAGAACGTCCCCATAAATATTTAATCTAAGAATTGAACTGTAAGTTTTGATGTAAAATTCTGACCGCAAAGCACTTTCTACATTCATTCTAATGACTTGTTCTCCTGGCGTTAATAAAATGATGTGAATTATTTGGCTTGAAGTGTTTGCGTCACTCCACTGTATTTTAGATGCACACATTCAAACCGCATTTAGTTATAGGGGCGAGTGGATCTCTTAAACAACGTCAACAACCACATACTTACATAACTAGTTATGTGTATTTTTAATTAATGTTTAACTCCTTTTAGCGTGTAACAATTGTGAACGTTCAAATAGGGATTAATAAGTTACAAGTCTATGAAAAGAAAGATTTTATGAATCATTATTACTAAGAAGAAGAACAAAATAGTAATAAATCTGTAGTGACTAATAAAGATGAAACGATAGGTATAGCAGGTGATCTTCATTATGCAGAGCGGATGCGCTTGATTTCTGATGAACGGAAGTAACAAACGTGCATTGATTGAGATATCATAACTTTACATTAGATGTTTTTTTATATTTATTTAACAAACCTTGTTATTAGTTAACAATTGTTAGCGTAAACCCGACATTTTGTGTTGAGTAGCATGGTTGTATAATGAATATAAAAATTAAAATTATGTTTTCAGATTCAGTCAGTATTTCCAGCGATCAAACCACATGTATAATTATAGATACTTATTCCCTCACTGCATTTTGTATTCATCTCAATCTCTGCATGTGTTCAAGTATAATTTTTATAAAGAACATAAAATTTATGTTAACATAGAAGAAATAAGACTTACCTGCAAGAATTTGAAGGCTTGCCACATACTTCGTCATGCGACGAATTATTATTGATGATTTAGATCCGAAACTTACGATAAAAGCTAGTCCAGTGGTAATAAAAAATAGAAAACTACCAAGTCCCATAAATATGCATGAAATCTGCCAGAAAGTGTTGGGAAGATTTTTCAGATGAAAATAATTTCCGTAAAATTGACAGAGCATAGACTCTTCATCTTTGTAGCTATCTAGAAAATATTTACCTTCTTCATATAATTTATAGTGAGCTCCTTGCCGTTTATAAAATCGCAACGCAAATTTTTTATTGTTAAAATTTCTCTCATTCCAACTAGAACCGCTGTTTTTTCCAATATTTATGTTTACGTCCAAAATTTTAGAGTAGAGCGCAAAGTTTTCTGAATCAAGTTCCAAGCAGAAACTATACAATCCCATGCAAACACTGAAGTCATCGCTTATTATCCACTGCGGTTTGGTGAAGCTATACGCGCTGGCAAAACTTACCATTGTTGAGAGAAATATCCATAGAAGTCTTACGTACACACAGACCTTTTGCTCGATTTTAATTACATTTTTTATGTCATTTGTAACATGATTCTTTCTTTTGAATTCAATAGAGCGAATATTTGAATTTTTTCCATTCATGTTAATTTGCATTAGTTCGATAATAATTATTTGTTATTCATTTCATTATTTTTACAATTATATAATAATGCAAAGTGAATGTATCATTTAAATAAAATTACACCACGCTTTGCCATGCTTCGATTGAACTGTACCGGACCGACCGGCAGGCTCGATACCGAGTGTGTGCTTAAAGCCATGCTCAAAGCTTATATCATTCGCATATTTTAGTATGCATGTTGCCTATATATATAAATATAAAAGAAACATACACAAATATAACTGATATTGCACAACATACTTTATTATACAACTACTATTACTATCTGTGTCAGATCTCATTTCAATTAAAAATAAAGCTATATAATAAATACAGCAGCGTAAATCTACGCGGGGATATAGCTCAGTGGTAGAGCGCTTGCTTCGCATGTAAGAGGCCGCGGGTTCAAGTCCCGCTATCTCCATATCTTTTTAAGCAAAATTACTTAAATGGAAATAAATGGCGTTAAATGGACAAACTGGCGAGAGTAAACTTTTGTAAGTTTAGAGGTTGGTTAAATTGTTTATGCTTTTGATTAACGCATTCTTTGTTTAAAAAAACGAATTCATCTATACTTTCTACGTAAATTAGCTAATTAATTTTCTAAATTGGCACTCATATATCATAATTATATTGCAACTTTATTCAATTTTTTAAAACTATTAATGTAATTGTAATGAAGCTCCTCGTCCTTCCTCACATTTTCTTAATTCCATTTAAACACTCTCAAGATGAATATGAGCATGCTTTTTCTAAAACTCTTCTTTATTTCTAACAAAGCTCGAAGCAAATCTCAAAACTTTCGAGTCTATAAATGAATTAAGATGTTCAGTATAACATATAGTTATAGCAGTTACTCTTAATTTTCCGCGCCATTTTTAACTATCTTTTAAATATTCTACCTGGCACATTCTCCCGGCACAACGCCAACCACAAGTGTCATAAGACAATACGCACGTTAAAGAGTTTCTTACATAAAAGTTATTCCGTATTTGCGTACACTATTAATGAAAAAGGGGCGCTAAGACTAAGCGTAGAATCAGTTTTTTACCATTTAAAACAAACTTCATTCTCAAGTATTTAGACTCAAGTATTTAGAAACGCAATATGAACCATCACGACAGAGATGGCTTGATTGTAGCAGGTGAACTGTTATGCACGCTTAAATTCATTTAATAAAATAGCCATGATGCTACACATATATATATATATATATATACAGAATAAATATAGTGATGCTATGATTTATTATATTATATATACATATGGATATGATTATTGTGTATCACACATAAATAACACAGCATCCTACATCAACTTTGAAATAAAATTTAATTGTCTTTTCTGAGAAATTCATGACATTTATAAAGTTTGACAAGAGAATGCGATCATGGAATTTATTCAATCAAGCTATTTTTTTGCACTCTTCAAATTACCAGATATCATTTAATGTATAGTAGCAAATGATAACTCCATAATTTATAAAGTGAAATCAGCAATGAAAAAAGCAATCAAACGACAAAACATTATTTGCAGGGCATAATAAAGTATTGTCAAAATAACATGAAGAAAATTACTGGTGAAATTTATTTAACATTTGAGGATAAGGATTTCAAAACTTTTTCAATAGCCATAGGTGAGACATTCAATCTGATAAGCTCCAAAATAGTCCTGCAAATGCCAAAATAAAAATTATTTTTATTCAATTGCAATTGTTTAAAAACATTGACAAATGGAGTTTTAGAATTTAATTTTTTCAATACTTATCTTCATATGTTCCAAAACATTATAAAAAAATTCATAATTTAAAACAGGTCTTGAAAGAAGTAAATTTATAAGATTAGCAAATTAAAGAAATGATTTTTAATAATTTCATATAGAAAATATTTAGGAATAAATATTATAATAAAATTATTAAAAATGAAATAGATACAATAAAATTTTGTAAAATACAAAAATCCTAGATAGCTATATTGACCAAATTGCAAATTTGATATTATATGTTTATTAGTATGTCATTTACATGTTATAATTAAAAATTATAATTTTAATCTGATAAACTGCAGCCCTTAATTTAATTTTTAATTTGAAATTGAATGATAGGCATTAAAATTAAATTGTTCTTTACTTTGTTACATTTATTTAATAATTTAATTGACAATTTTTTTTCAAGTTTATTGTTGGCAAAGGCCATTTTTTTCAAATAAATAAAATGAATATGTAAATCTATTCAATGCCCTAACCAATTTTATTTATTACTGCAGATAGATAATACCAATAAATATAAAAAATTAAAAATGGCTTTCTTTTCATTTTTCTGTTTTATATAGGAGGTTGAAAAAAAATTATTTGTAGTTGCTTTAAAACATTGATACAAACCTCTCCGATCTCTCAAAAAAACTAATAAAACCAAATTAGATCAAAAATTGGATAAATTATTATTATGAAATGTCACAAACTTGAAGACATTTATGTCCCAGGGAATGCCGGCCGATTGCGATAATAGAAATAAATCGATATCGTCGGCAGTTAGGGAAAATTTTTGAATATCTTTTGCCGAGAGATTGCTCCGACTCATACTGGTCATTTATTTAATTTTAATTGGCTAACTAATTGGCATACTGACGAATTGCATGATTTTTTCAGGTAAGCGCCATCGCTTTGTGCAATGTTAAAAAATCGTCATATTCATTTTAGGGTCGGGCTATTTTGTTTGTTTATTGCCAATTTCCGGCGCTTTCAGCACAAATGGGCTATCTTTACTACGCCTATTTCTTTTTTTTCTGATTTTATACCTGGGTATTGTTGATTTTGTTTAGTTTTAATTTTCGTAGATAAGGTTTAAATCTGTTAAGTATTTTATTGTGTTTGGAATGCTAATTGGATCATCAAATATTTGCTGCATGCTGGTCGGAATGTTGTGAATTCTTCTGTTTAACTGGTATTTTTGACATTCTGTAATGTAATGAATGCAGTCTTGAACTACAAGTATCGCAAACTGGAGGTGAAGATCTTGTGTAAATCCAAGAGTGAGATAATTTTGTGTGACCTATTTTGATTCCGTTTGGTATCTTCTTTCTATATGCAATACATTTGAATTCGGACTATTTCCTTTAAGGTTTGAACTTTTTAAAAAGTTATTGGATTGATTCCATTTTGTTGCCACGTGAATACGATATACTGATGTATGATGGGTTTAATATCGGACATTGGTATTGGAATGTTTGATACTGGAAGAGAGTGTGCCAGGCTGGCAGCCTGGTCTGCTCTTTCGTTGCCCAAAATTCCAACCTGGCTTGAACTCCAAACTAATTTTATTGAATTATTATTTATCATTACGTTGTGAATTTTGTTTTTAATCATTGTTACTAGAGAGTTTTTATTTCTATGCGAATTTATTGCCGTGAGGCTAGACAAGGAGTCTGTGACAGTTAGAAATTGGTTTGTTTTGAAGTTTTTTATGTGATCCAGTGCCATGTTAATTGCAGTTCAGCTGCGAAAGTCGATGCGTATGGTGTGAGTCGTTAGAGTAGGGTTTGTTTGAGACTAGGAATGACAGCTGTTGCTGATGTTGATCCTTTTTATCTCGACCCTCTTTTACTTTTTTTTTACTTATTTTACTTACTTGGATTGTTGGCTTATTGGCTTAATTACGAAATTGCATAGGTTTTATATATAGAGAGTTAATTAAAAAAGGATGATGAATGAACTAAATTTTTGTAACAAGTAAAAGGCCAAAAATTGAAACTAATGGTAAAATTACCAAAAAATAAAATAAAATAAAATACAATAATGAATAAATACATTTTCATCTATTTGCATGAATACATTACAACATCTTTGTCAATGGTTTGAATTGCCTTGACAACAAAAATGGCATGTTTTCTGCTTGCCTTATAGAAATTTTTTTTTAAGAGGTAATCTCTTAAGCGATGTTTCAAAACGTTGATCGTATTTGTTTTTTAAAATGAATTTTTGTTCAAAAGCAACTTTGAGTGATTTAAACATTAGCTTGATAACTTTAAGAGATGCTAACAATGAAAGGGCGAGGAAAATGAAGACGAAATTAGAACCTCTGTTAAATAATAACCGTAACAACCCTTCTGCCTCCAACCCTGACGATAACTTTAACCTCCAGAAAAACCATTTATCGGCAATTGTCAAATCATCCAAATATTTTGATAATGATGTTAATTGTAACAAATTGCACCATATGGAAAATTTGGAAAAATCAATCCAGTTTCTCCAAAGTCAGCATCATCATATTCTTGGAAATTTGCACAACGAAATTGACGAATTAAAACATCAAAATAGAGGTATGTATATCCAGTTTTCAATACTGTTTTTCATGACTGAAATATTTTGAATTTTTTTTACTTGTCACAGAACTTCAATTACAGATTGCTAAACTAACTTCAAATAGTTTTAAAAAAGGTTAGTCATTTAAAATGTTGGCCACAATTATTTTATAGAGTTTAGTTTTTGTAGAGAACTGATGCATCTATTCTATAACATTATGCTAGATTTGGTTATTTGGGACTTTTTATGGTTATAATTGTTTTAAATTAATTTCTTTTTAGAATTTCTCAATGAAAATACTGAAACATCTGCATCTCATTTGAATAATGACGAAAATATTAGACTGAAAAAAATAGTTTCTGCTTTAGAGAAAGCTTTAAAAGAGGAGACTGCTAAAAATACTGAACTTCTTGCTAGCTTGAAAAGGAAAAATGAGTAATTATATTAATAATTTCAAGTTTGTTTCAAGTTATGGATTTTTATTTTTATAATCCAGCATTATTTTGTTTCTACTTATTTAAGATTATTGGATGGAAATACTTTGGTTCAGGAAAGTAATTTTACGAGATTAGAACATGACTCTAACAAATTGGATGTCAGGGTTTCTTTCCCACCTGTTATAAAACACTGTAAATTGAAAAATAATGAACTTAAATTACTCTCTGGTAAATCATCTATTGAAAATCTGCATTTACACAAAGACTTGACTTGCTTAAGAGGCCATAAACTGTTTAAATCCGTTAGTTGATAAAATTCCGAATAAAGTTTTTTTACTATTTTACTGATGTTTTCAATTTTGAATTCCATTTTAATAGTTATTATTATTTTAGTTGAATACAGTTTTGTTTAATTAGACTGCCATTTTAATATTTGATATAAATGAATATTTTCTGGTTCATTAGACCAGAGTGTCAAAATCTGATGAAAAATATCCAACTCCAACTCTGGGTAAAAATTGTTGACTCCCGACTCTGACTCTGGGTTACAAAAGTTTAAAAAAAATTTGTCAACTTTTGCATAATGATTTTACTTATATATCACTACAAAATGAAAAATACTTCAAAAACACTTAAAATCAGTCAATGTAATGTTCTTAGTGAAAAAACTTTATATTTATGTTTTTAAACTAACTGAAATAAAATTATGTGATTTTCTTCAAATTATTAGCATTTATTTTCAGCATGAAAGTTGATTTCATATAGCTACATATATTTAATTTCTTAAAAACTCGGTGTTAAAAAATATTTTTGGAATAAAATATTTCAAATTCTTAATACGTTCCGGATGAAAAATATCAGACTCCAGCCTCAAAAAATTTCGACTCCGGCAAAAGTCTCCCACTCCGACACACAGCAATCAACTAATTAGTAATTTGATACCAGATTGATTTCTATTTCTGACAATTATATAATAAGAGCAACAAATGTTCAATTGTTTTAGTATGGAAATGAGTACAATGAAGATGTTTCACATTCTCAAATGACACATGAACATGCTTGTAGATTGAGAAGAAACAGTACATCATCTGAGATGTCTCAACTCAAATTGCCACCTATTAATCCCGATACAAAAAATCAGTTATGTTTATGCTTCTTAAAGTTACATTTGGTTAATTTATTAATATATTTTTGTTAAAAACTCAGTTGTACACAAATTTTGAGTGAATCTTCTATTTTGGTTTTGCCTGAAATGTGCCTGAAAAACTTTTTTATTATAAACAAATAATAGGATTAAAGAAAAGGTATCAGATGGCGGTGATACAAAACCAGATCTTCCAAGAAAGAATCTCACAGGAAAAAATAAATGGAAATACATCAACTAAATTTTGATGAATGACAATTGAAAACAAATAAATTATATTTTTGAAATGAAAATGTGTGAAGGGAATTCATTCTTTTTAGTCATGGTCTTTAAAGTTGGAATTTAAAATAAAATAAATTTATGATTCGTCATTTTTATAGAAATTTTTATTTGTGTAAGGTTATGGATATTGGGTCAGTTGAGAAAAATTGAAAGATTCTAAAAATATTATGTACATTTCGGGAAGTTTTGAATGATTGATTGATTTCTAAAAATAAGGAGAAGGAATGTGAAAAACGCAATGAAGATTTTGCTCAAATTAGACACGCGAGAGATGGCTTTTACTGCGTACTTCTGAAATACAATACTAAGAATATTCCAAGTCACAAATCCTGCAACAGTAATATAATTTGGACAGTTTATGTGTCAATTTCAAGTGTCACTACTGCTGTTTCCAAAGAAGTAAAGGCAGTACCTCCAGCGCATAAAAAGCAAAAAGTTATGTTCGATGATTGAGCTTTAAGAGCAAGTTTTGGATCGAAATCATCAGTGACAAAATTTTATAATGCCTCAACCGCAATGTAATCTCATGCATAAACAGTATTGTGTGATTTGAGTTTTTCTTTCTGTATGATGTCTAAGAAAAGATTAAGTTAATCTGATTAACTACTTTAAATGGTAACTCAATTGCTTCAGCATATTTTTCATATCTTAAACATTAGCCTGGTAATTAATAATAGATTAAAAAATTGACAAGACCACGATGATGTAATTATATTTGCAGTCATCTTTTCCAAATGCCTGAATCAGAATAACATTTACACATTTTTGCCTGAGACAATTGCAAATTATAGAGGCGAATTTTATTTTCCAAACTGGATGGTATTACAAATGTTTCATATAGGCAACATCCGTTGAGATATATACCAAGAATTACCTCATAAGTTTAAACTTTATGCATCAATGGCATTGTGAAATAGAGGGTCTGCAGATTATCCTTCAGTATTCCCTAGACAAAACAACAAGTTGCTACAAAAATATCAACGTTAAATATCAACTATAACTTTAATTACTTTTTCTGTTAGTTACATTATTATTTTATCTAGTAAGTTTTAAAATTTATATGTAGGGGAGACTGGGGTCGAATGGACCAGGTACCGAAAGGACCTTCGAAATTAAAAATAGTAAACATGCGCTAACATTTTTTTAAAATTTAAATTCATATACGTCTCTTGGCTTTCTATAACCAGATGTAAATTTTATTAAATGTTTTTAGTAGCCGATTTAACTGTTTCACTTTTCCTTTTTTTGCGAGAAAAAGTGAAATATTCGTCTGTTTCTTTTTGAGTGTTTTAGAAAAATTTCGAGCGGTATGTTTTTGTTTTTTTGTCAGTTTCTATAAAATAATGCTTTCTGAACACGATAGTGTTGATTTGACACCTTTATCCTTTTTAATTTATTTGGCATGTCCGTTTTAGTGTCCAACTACCATGTGGTACAGGATGGACCAGCTTTGTGTGTACAGAATGAACCACTCTAATAAATACTAATACTTATATAAAGAATGATACCCTGGTCACAGTGGTTTATTAGTAATTGGAATTGAATCCATATCTAACTAAATATCAATTACTTTTGTAATTTCAATTTTAATAATTATTAATTATGAATTTTTAATTTAAAAATTAAAAAGTTCTAGAATATCTTTTGCTCCAATTTTCAATTTTAATAAAAAAATTATTGGAGATTGTGATAGTAATAATGTTTTTATTAATATTAGGAAATTTAAGTAAAATGATATTAAATAATTTTTTAATACAAGACCAAAAGGAGGATGAGGTCAAGAGCATTAAACG